GTTGCTTTTTTATTACGAATAAGGTTGCAAGTCCTTATAAAGGCGCAGTAGCTTCTTTATGGGCTTGGGCTGAAAAACAAATATTACAATATATTGAATCCCTTGAATATCTCCATGAAAGTAGGCCAAGATATAATCCATAAATATAAGACAGATCGAAAAATATTCCTCCATATTTTTCGCAAATTATAAACCACAAAACCTGAATAAGGCGCGCTTAAAAACAGGAAACAGAAAATTTGAAAAACACATTAAGATCAGAAGGCGGATGTTTAGACATCTGCTTTGACGTCATTCAAAATCAGTTGAGATGATTTACTTCAAATGTCAATACATTAAGCAAAACATTACCAACGCATGTTTTACCAAAATTGTTGCCAACAAAAACTTACAATAATGTACATATAAAACAAACGGGGCGGGTTCGGGTGGGTACTAGTGTCCCTATTACCCAACCCATCCCCATATTTTGTAATCGGTAAAAACCCAAACCCAAATCCAAACCCAGTCAAATTGGGTTTTCCCTGTCAACTTCAGGGCAGGTTCGGGTGAGTACCCGCAGGTACGGGTTTAGTTGCCATGCCTAATGATGTGTCATCTCTGTTACATCTTCCGATCAGGGGAAGATTATTAGACCACTCTAGGATGACCAGACCTGATGCACTGAATATGATGGTGACCTATTTAGGTGTTGGCCTAAATGATGCCCTGAATGAGATGGAAGACACCAAAGGATATCGTGATATTCCAATAGAAGTTGTATGTACAACACCCGGTTGCATCAGTGTAGATCGATGGTGATGATGCATGGTTTATGTATCATAAAGCATGTGCATTGAGATCATACCTCATGTACTTGGTTGGCACGCTCATATTTGTAGAAAAGAATGCATATTACATCAATGTGGTTTGTCTCAAATACTTCATTGACTTTGGGCAGATTAATGAGTATAATTGGGGGCATTTGTTTGGTTTACCTTTGGAAGACCGAATATATGACATTGATTTGCATCTTGTTTAATGTAATATATTTGCATATTTACTATTAATGTACCATCTTCATAACACTTGTGCTACTCCATTACCAATAATTCATTTGTATCATTTTCAAGCATGGATCCTCCAGCACTTTTCACGCATCTCTGGATGGTCATATGATGATGACTATATAGAGGATTTTTTGTCTGCCTGTGCATTTTCCCCGCTCAGAGGGAATCATTCCATAGAGCCCTTTAGAGTGTTTTTTGACCACACTACAACAAATGGTATTAAATTCATACAAGATCATCGTCGAACGCGTACCTTGGACGACATAACATTCTGCTCGAGATGGTTAGCTTATGGGTCACGTCTGATGTATCCACATTTGTCTGAGTGAGTCGTGCGTCAGATCGAATTTATGCAAGGTATTTCACATGAACTATTTTTTTCCGCTCCTCCCGATATGGTCCGCAGAGATGTAAATACGAAGTATGATGATTTCTATAATCATATACTACCAAATGAAGCATGAAATGTGATAGCTCCTCGCGAATGGAGTAGTACATTTAATCACATCCAATGTTATTTTGGTGTGTCACATCCTTACATGACACCAGACGATATCAGAGATCCACCTAGGTCAACTCATCCAGAGATATTATAGGAGGAGTATGCTAGAGAAAATCATATTATTGATGTGTTACATGCATATTGTTGTATATAGGCCATTGCATGAGCGAGTATAGAGAGGATATTTTTTAAAAAGAACTTCTATGAGGACCACCATAGATGTCATTTTATTTGAGGCACAAACAACATTGTAATACAGGAGGTAGACAAAGAATAAGGGATCAAATATACCCAATAATATTTTATAGTACTTATATTATTCATTATGGATAGTATTATGGTTTTATAATTTTCCGTTTTGATAATATTATGGATCTTGGGTTGATTCTAATATATGTCATTTTAATCATGTTACATTATGGTTTAATTCCTAAAAAAATTATTGTGATAGTATAGTTATAATACATGACATATTAAATTAGTGCATTTTTAAAAAAAAGTTAAAATTTACTTACTAAAGGGTGATTATGGAAGCTTATTTCCATATTTTGTTATGAAAAGGCATCTACATACTAAATTATGGCAAAATAAAAGTGTGACTCAGTTACAAATGAATGAGGTGCACATATGGTGGTTCCTCACCACCAAGGATGGAAGAAGTAATATCTTATTCTAAAGATGATGAAACATCTTGAATCATCTATTGGTGATGAATTATTATGATACTATCAGATGAAGCACGAAATATGGTAGCTCCTCGTGAATGGAGTAGTGCATTTAACCACATCCAATGTTATTTCAGAGTGTCACATTCTTACATGACACCAGATGATATCAGATATCTACCTAGGTCAACATCAAGAGATATTATAGAAAGAGTATGCTAGGGAAAATCATATTATTGATGTGTTACATGCATGTTACTGTATATAAGTCATTGCATGAGCGATTATAGAGAGGAGACTGTTCAAAAGACACTTCTATGAGGACCACTATAGATGTCATTTTATTTTAGGCACAAACAACATTGCAATACAGGAGGTAGACGAGGAATAAGGGGTCAAATATACCCAGTAATATTTGATAGTATTTATATTATTCATTATGGATAGTATTGTGGTTTTATAATTTTTCATTTTGATAATATTATGGTTCTTGGGTTGATTCTAATATATGTCATTTTAATTTTGTTACATTATGGTTTAATTCCTAAAAAAATTATTATGATAGTATAGTTATACTACATGGCATATTAAATCAGTGCATTTCTAAAAATAAAAAAAAAAAAAAGTTAAAATTTACTTACTAAAGGGTGATTACAAAAGTTTTTTTCCATATTTTATTATGAAAAGGCATTTCCAGACTAAATTATGGCAAACTAAAAGTGTGACTCAGTTACAAATGGATGAGGTGCATATATGGTGGTTCCTCACCACTAAGGGTAGGAGAAGTAATATCTTATTCTAAAGATGATGAAATATCTTGATTCATCTATTGGTGATGAATTGTCATGTTATATTTTGGTTAACAAATACTTATGTTATGTTGTGTAGTCTATGTATGTGATAACAAAGATTTATCTTAAATTATTTTATTTTAGATTATCTAATATTTTTAGTGTGTTCCTATGTGATAACGTTGGTGAATATGAATTTTAATATTTGGACAAACCCTTAGACTAATAGGAGTGAATTCAAATTTCAATACCAAACAAACCCCTAGAACAAATTACTTAAGAGAAAAGGGTGAGTTCAGTTTTCAATATTCAAATTTTTTTTAGTTGTATTTAGCGAAGTTTAAGTGTGTCCAAATTTTAATTTCCAAATTCAAAAAGAGTATTTTCAAATTTTCGCCAAAGTAGAAGAGTAATGTATGGGGTGGAAGGAAAAATCTTCTACTCGTAATTCTAGGTTGGTGAGACTAAGAGAAACATATGTAAGAGAGAAAATAAATAATTCATTTTCAACCATTCAGGCTGCAGAACAAAATGAAAAGGAAAGAAGCAAAAGCTTCTTTTATTTTGTCACAAACACAACTAATATAAATAAGCCATAAGGGAAAACCCCTAACTTCATATTTAGTATGATAGACAATATCATCTTTTCACATAACCAAGTATATTAGAGATACTAGTTGATATACTAAGGGTAGTTTTGTATTTTCTCAACATAACAGAATTTTGTTATGATTGCTATTAACAGCTGGCATCATCACCAACTATATAAACCAATGTAACTGATATACTCATTCAACATTAGAATCACTTTCTTCTTTCTCTCTTTCTCATTCAATGGATTCCATCTTCTAACATGGTATCTAGAGCCTTCTTTTTCTGAACTCACAAGTGTGGTTCAGCTCTCTTCTTCCATGGCGTCACCATAATCTACGAATTCTGTACAGGATCAAGTGTTTTCTGCTGTCGCAACTACCTTCAAACAGAAAAACCATGTAAAGTTGGATGAAACCAACTACTATCAATAGCTACAACAAGTCGAAGGTGTGCTTCGAGGCACGAAAATGGTGCAATTTGTTGTTCCGTCCTCCAATTCTCAACAAACCTTCCCTGAAGCTTCAGGTACTGATACCTTTTATCCTCAAACTGGTGGATGTGGTGGTTATCATGGAAGAGGAGGCTTTCGTGGTGGACAATTCAGAGGCCGTGGTGGCCGTTTTGGTAACATAGGTTTAACTAAGTGTCAAATCTGTTACAAAATAGGTCATGAGGCAAGTTATTGCTACTTTCGCCATTCACCCGATTTGTATGCAAGTTATGCTACTCCTTCTCCTTATGTTGGTTATGGTACGTTGCAAGCAAATGTATGGAATCATCCTAGATTTTGTCCTCCTGCATCACAACAAATGACCTCTCAAAGGCCTTCTGAAGCTTTCTACAATGGCCAACTTGGTACAGCTAGACCTCAAGCCTTTATCACAGTCAATGATTTTAAAAATTCCTTTTATAATCAGGCTTGGTATCCTAACTCTAGAGCCACACATCATGTCACACCAGATGCTGCAAACCTCGTGGATGATGTCTCTCTTTCAGGTTCAGACCATGTCCAAATTGGAAATGATCAAGATTTGTCTATAAAATCCCTTGGCTCTTTATCTTTTAACTCTCCGTATTACCCTAACACCACCCTAAAACTTAACAAACTCTTACTTATCCCATCCATTACCAAAAATCTTGTGAGTGTAAGTCAATTTGCCAAAGATAACTCTGTATATTTTGAATTTCATACTGATAAGTGCTTTGTGAAATGCCAGACTTCCTTTAAAATTCTGTTAAGAGGCTCACTTGGGCATGATGGCCTCTACAAGTTTGACAGTCTGGATCAAGTCATTCCTCAAGTCCCACCTCAGGCTCTTCATATCTCCAGCCCTGGCTTAGATCAAGTCTCACCTCAAGCTCTTCAAGTTCTAGTTCCAGCTTAGACTCTAGACATATTATGCACTTTCAATGTAATAAATCTCCTAGTTTGTACCAATCATGGCATTGTAGGTTGGAACATCCCCACCATGAAACTCTTAAAAATGTTCTCAATGTTTATAATATTCCTTTACCTAATAAGAATATGTTTGATTTCTGCAATGCCTGTTATCTAGGTAAAGCACATAGATTACCATCTTATGCTTCCAATACTAACTATATTAAGCCATTCGAATTGGTTTTTTGTGACCTTTGGGGACCTGCCCCTGTTGCTTCCTCCTGTGGATATACCTATTTCCTTACTTGTGTTGATGCTTTTAGTCTATATACTTGGATATATCCACTCAAACTTAAATCTCACTGTTGAAACCTTCAAACAGTTTAAAGTCTTAGTTGAACTACAGTTAAATCACAAAATTAAAGCTATATAAGCAGATGGTAGAGGTGAATTTAAGCCTCTCACTCAATACTTATCTAGCCTAGGCATCACTCATAGATTAACATGTCCCCACACTCACCACCAAAACGACTCTGTGGAGAGAAAACACAGACACATTGTTGAAACTGGCCTATCTCTTCTTTCCCAAACTAACCTTCCCCTAAAGTTCTAGGATCATGCATTTTTAATAGCAACCTACCTCATAAACAGACTTCCCTCTACTGCTCAAAACCACAAATCACCCTTCTTTATTTTACATCTCCAATTTCTTGATTACAAATTCCTTAAGCTTTTTGGTTGTGCATGCTTTCCCTTATTAAGGCCCTATAACTCACACAAACTTGATATGCACTCAAGAGAATGTGTGTTCATTGGCTACTCACCAACACATAGAGGTTATAAATGTCTTGCTCCTAGTGGCAGGATATTTATTTCTAAGGATGTGATTTTCAATTAAGTTAGGTTCCCTTATCCTGACTTGTTCTCATCATCTTCCCACTCCCCTTCTAATCAAAGTGGTTCTAGATCTCCTGACTTCCAAAAGTTCCTTCCAGCTATACCTCCTACCTCACTATCTCTGCCACAAACTCCTATTGTGTCACCTCCCACAATCTCATCTGTTGAGTCTCATTCCTCTTATCCTACCCCACCTACACCTATATTTAATTCTTCTTCTCAATCACAAACATTATCCCCGCCTACATCCTTGCCTTAAATCTCTACTTCATCACCTCCACCACCTAAATGAGCCTAATACCACTGGCCAGTCTCAAACTCAGGTGGCTACTTCCAACCACAACAATGTCTCTTCCTCATCTAGTATGTCCAGTAACCCTAGTGCACCTTCTCCTCTTGCCCTTATGTCTGCTCCAAGAATTCATCTTCTCAACACTCACCATATGCACACCAGAGCCAAAAATGGCATAGTTCAATCCAGACTTCAGCCAACTCTACTGCTCACTCATGTTGAACCATCATCCTATAGACAATTCTTGGCTATCCCTGAGTGATTTGCAGCTATGCATGCAGAATATGATGCTTTTCTCAAGAACAACACCTGGACTCTTGTTTCTCCACCTACTCATAGACAACCCATTAGCTGCAAATGGGTGTTCAGGGTAAAGGAAAATGCAGATGGAACTATTAATAAGTATAAAAGCTCGCTTGGTGGCAAAGGGGTTTCATCAAATAGACGGTTTTCACTTCACTGAAACATTCTCACCAGTAGTGAAACCTATAACTGTGAGAACTGTGCTTACTCTTGCTATCACACAAGGCTGGCCTATTCAACAACTTGACATCAACAATACCTTTCTCAATGGTATTTTTAATGAGGAAGTGTACATGGTACAGCCTCATGGTTTTGAAAAAACTGATTCTACACTAGTGTGCAAGCTAAACAAAGCTTTATATGGTCTAAAGCAGGCTCCAAGCGTCTGGTTTGACAGGTTAAAAGGTGCTCTCATCTTTATAAACTTTACTGCCAGCAAGTGTGATCCATCTCTGTTTATGTTGCACATTTCCACAAATTGCACACTAGTTCTTATTTATATGGATGATATAATCATCACAGGCACCTCAAAGACTTTCATTCAGCAACTTATCACTAAGATGAATCTCTCTTTTTCTCTAAAAGATCTTGGTCAACTGGATTACTTCTTGGGAATAAAAGTGCAACATCTACCTAATGGCTCCCTTATGTTGTCACAAAATAAGTACCTAAAAGATGTTCTCATCAAAGCTAACATGGCATCTGCTAAGAGCATTGCCTCTCTCATGGCATCCAGCACAAAACTATCAAATTGGCTCAGAAAAAATTGTTGATCCAACTAAGTTCATATCTATAGTAGGAGGCCTGCAATATGCCACCATAACCAAGCCAGAAATCTCTTTTGCTGTCAACAAAGTTTGTCAGTTTCTCTCAAACCCCCTTGAAGATCACTGAAAAGTTGTCAAAAGAATCCTGAGATATTTACAAAGGACCCTGCATCATGATCTTCTTCTGGTTCATGCTTCCTCTACAACCCCCATCACCATAACTGGGTTCTGTGATGCAGACTGGGCATCTGATCTGGATGACAGTAGGTTCACTTCTGAAGCCTGCATCTTTCTATGGCCTAATCTAATTTCCTGGTTGGCCAAGAAGCAAACACTGGTTGCCAAGTCCAGTGCTGAAGCTGAATACATGAGTCTGGCCCATGCCACAACTAAAATCCTATGGCTCCAATCTCTGTTAACTGAGCTCAAAGTACAGCAAGTACCAGGTCCCAAGAATTCTCTATGACAATCTAAGTGCAGTAGCCCTCTCTCATAATCCAATGCTTCATACAAGGACAAAGCACATGAAATTAGACATCTTTGTTAGGAAAAAAGTGATCAACAAAAGCCTCAGTCTCACATACCAGCTCACAGTCAATGGGTAGACATTCTTACTAAGCCCCTATCTACTGCCAGATTCCTTGAGCTTAGAGACAAGTTATAAACATCTTTGTTAGGAAAAAAGTGATCAACAAAAGTCTCAGTCTCACATACCAGCTCACAGTCAATGGGTAGACATTCTTACTAAGCCCCTATCAACTGTTAGATTCCTTGAGCTTAGAGACAAGTTAAGAGTGGTTGATAAGTTGTCACTTCCTCAACCACCTTGAACTTGAGGGAGGAATATTAGAGATACTAGTTGATATATTAAGGGTAGTTTAGTATTCTCTCATCATAACAGAATTCTGTTATGATTACTGTTAACAGTTGACATCTTCACCAACTATATAAACCAATGTAACCGATTTACTCATTCAACAATTTCCCTGTCTCTTTCTCTCTTTCTCATTCAATGGATTCCATCTTCTAACAAAGTATATATTTATTTTCTACTTTATAGCTAGTTATTTTGTAATGCAAGATTTATTCAACATCCCAGAAGTCAGAAAAATGGGAAACATTGATAAATTACATAGACAAAGATGATGTACAACATTCTGATAAGACATAATCTCAACCTTGATCAACCAACTTTAGTATACACCCCAAAAGGCCCTGAGCATATTATTTCCAGCCTCGGCATTTTAACATTGTTAAACAGTAACCTGATTTTCCCAATTTTATTTGTTTGGAGACACCAATAAATATCCAACACTAAAAACATTCTTCTTGACAACAAAAAGGTTTGAATTGGACCCTCCTCGAATCCGATGTGTAGTTCCTGAGTTTCCCACCAAAATGAGAAACGGTCACCATGCAAGTTTTAGTTTGACCCTCCTCGAATCCAACGAGGAGTTCTTGTCCTTCCAATACTAGAATAATAATCACCCACATTAGCTACAAATAGTGGATCCCTATCATCTTCTAATTTGTACTCATTACTACCACCATCAGTTATATTATCTAGTTCTGTCTTCTCCAACTCTTTTGTCAATTCATCCATTGTTTTTTTCAAACTAGATTTGCTCATCTGGCCTGCTTCTTCTGTAGAGAGACCAACCATTGTAATTTTTGGAAGAAAGGTATTTTGTTTAGAATATTCTTTATTTACACCTTTTCTTGATAACCCTACTTTTTCAGTGCCGTCATCCAAACTATATTCAGAAGAGTCTGTACATCCAGTATGTTTAGCATCATCTTCCAATTTAGAGTTATCCGGGCAGCTGCTTGACTCTGTAACTCTCAAAAAAGACACTTCACTTCTGCGGGATGACAAAAAGTGTTACAAAAGATAAATCAGTGTATTATATCAATTGGCTTCAAAAAATGCTTTCCTGTTTTCTTTTCCTAGTAATTGCAAGTATCATCGTGTTTTAACTTGATTCTTGTGTTTGAAGATTTCAACAGAAAATAATAAAATTAGTAAACCATTGTTCAGTTTGTTTTCTGTTTCTGTTTCTGCAAACAGGATATGTATTATTATTTTAACAATGAATGCACAAGACCTAATTTCCCTAATTCAAATATATACAATGACTTGAACCTAATCAATCCTTTCTACAATGAACAAGAATATTAAAATAGGATAAAATAACTTATTTGACTAACATAGAGTAGATTATACTGCTGTAGCAAGAGTAGGGATCATTGGAGAACCCAAAATCTGAACAACATGAAAAAGTTAATACAGGGCAAAGATTTTAATTGAAATGAGCGGAGGGAAGGGATTTAATTTAATTAGAGGAGAAAATAGAGGAAACAACTTGTGCCATTGATTCCTCAAGTTACGTCACAGGGCCTTGTTGGATGTAACAATTCATTAAAATCATGCAAAGACCTTTCACATATGAGTACATATGGCCATCAGACTTTTGAGGAACAATGAAAATCATAAGCTCATTTCAGAAAGATAGGAACTACACTTCTCTGAATTTTATTTATCTACTAGTTGGAGGGAGCACGGGTTCTGACAATAAATATCAAAATTTAACACTTGAATCAATCACTGTTGCTAAATTGGTGGCCATGGCAGAATGGCAGTGTGGATATTTTGACAACCTCCACAGGCAATTTGTGGCTCCATAAACCACAATGGCGTGATTATATAGCGAATTTTTTACCTACTCTCATCCGCCAATGACAACCTCCATAGGCAATTCTTGAAAGGATGGACGTTATGGTGGCTCCATAAACCACAATGGCGTGTTTATATAGTGAATTTTATACCTTCTCTCACCTGCCAATGTGACAACACTGATTCCAACTAATAACTTTTTGTAGAATGTGAAATCAATTATTCGAACTTGTACTTCTTATAAAGTAGATCAAGTTCATAAAAATTTATCCAAACGAAAAACTAATTGAGACTTTATTATGCTATTTTATTTTGACGACTAATAAGTTGTTGAAAATATAAGTAAATGACCATTACTAGATGATATCTCTACAAATGCCCAAATCATCTTATCTTTGGGTTGGTGTTGCACTCCATTTCTCTTCTAATACAAGTCTTTTGCTATTAAAAACTCAAATAATCTGAAATACTTGATCAAGATGATATCACAGGATTGATTTATATAAGATTCAAGTCCTACCCATAATTGGTACTTGTTTGATACTGATGGGCATGCACAATTTTTTAAAATTAAAATTTGGGTAATCCATTTTGGTGCACGTTTCTTCGCTCCAGAATCAGGTTTTTCCTACCTAGATCATTCAACCTCAAGAACAAGTAGATTTGGTGGACAGTATGTCTTCGCATCCTTGGTTGCTAAGCCGCATTTCGACAATAGAAATGATGGTCTCATTGTTACTTCATCCGATTTGTCGGTAGAGAGAGGTCACATAACTATTATAAAAGCCTCAAACTTAGAGCCAATGGGAGCATTTGAAGGACCACTGAAAACTATGAACCTTCAAGTCAGATAACAAAGGGAGGAAAACAAAACCACCACAAAGCATGTGAATGACTTGCAACTCTCGACACAAGACATGACAGGAGCAGCACCAAATCAGGACTATGGAAAATGTTGAAGATTAGCACATATCAAATCATAATCATTTGATTCTGATTTGTCAAGCTGTTACAAAACAGTGGTGTAAATAGATTTATTATCTATTATTCTGATTTCCTTATTTAGGTAGCAGCAATTATAGGAAATTATTTCTCTGTTTATTAACAAATTAGTGTATTGTATTCTATATATACCTCACAATGTAACAGTTCCAATAAAAAAAATGAAATATACAACGTATTTCTATATGGTATCAGAGCATAAGATCTGAACCATCCCTAAACCTTGAGCACCACCCATGACAGATACTAAAGCAGAAAATTCAGCCAACAGTTTGGCCGAAGGACATGCTCTTCCAATCACTGGTCACAAACTGAATGGCCAGAATTACAATCAATGGGTGCGCTCAGTCAAAATCTACCTTCAAGGAAAAGGGAAGGAAGGTTATATCACAGGAGACTCCAAGTGTCCAAAAAAGGGGAATTCCAACCTTGAAAAATGGCAACTAGAAAACAGTCTAGTAATGTCATGGCTGCTAAACACCATGACAAATGAAATTGGAGAAAATTTCTTGTACTATGATACTGCCAAAGAGATGTGGGATGCCGTAAAGAAAACCTACTCTAATGTCGACAATACATCTGCAATATTTGAAATCAAGAGCATACTCCATGACTTGCGTCAAGAAGACCGCTCAGTCACAGAGTATTTTAATACTCTCAATCGTCACTGGCAGCAACTGGATGTATATGATGAAGCTGAATGGAGCTGCACAGAGGATAAAAAGAAGTACAAAGAATTTGTGGAGAAAGATAGAATCTACAAATTTCTCTTAGGTTTGAACACAGAACTTGATGAAGTTCGTGGGAGAATCCTTGGAACCAAACCTCTTCCAAAAATTCGAGAAGCATTCTCGGAAATACGAAGAGAGGAAAGCAGGAGAAAAGTGATGCTTGGAAAATCCAGTGCAGCCCCATCTATAGAAGGATCTGCAATGGCAGCAAGGGGAGATCATCGATCTTTCCAAAAGAAAACACGGCCATGGTGTGACCACTGCAAGAAACCGGGTCATACCAAAGACACATGTTGGATCATTCATGGAAAGCCATCAGAGCTAAAATGGAGCAAAAACCGGGACAGCAGAGGGAACACAGCTGAGGTAAATTCTCACTCATCACCATTCAACAAGGAGCAAATGGAAGCCTTACAAAAATTGCTTCAACAAACAATTGGTACAGCTACTGTGGCACAAAAAGGTAATTTTTTGCATGCTCTAAACACTAGCAGGGGAAAACAAAAATCATGGATTATTGACTCAGGAGCATCTGATCACATGACTGGAGATTTGACTGTCTTTGATAGCTATTCTCCATGTCAAAATAATTCGACTGTTCGAATTGCTGATGGTACCCTTTCTAAGGTCATGGGTAAAGGTTCAGTCATTATTTCGCAAAATATTACTCTTAGTTCAGTACTGTATGTGCCTAAACTTGATTGTAACTTGCTGTCCATAAGTAAACTTACAAAGGATTTGAAGTGTATCACTAAATTCTTTCCTAACCTGTGTGAATTTCAGATTTTGGAGTCGGGGAGGACGATTGGCAATGCTAAAGAATGTGCTGGACTCTATATCCTTCAGGCTGAAGCATCTAAACCAGAATTCGAGGCAACCTCTTGCGCTGTAGTTTCTGCATGTAGTGAAAATTTTGCAATGCTGTGGCACTATAGACTAGGCCACCCAAATTTTATGTACTTGGAAAAAATGCTTCCTAAACTATTCAATAAAAATCAGAAGTTGTTTCAATGTGAAATTTGTCAATTGTCCAAACATACACGCAGCCCCCACCCACCTCAACCCTATAAACCTTCCCAACCTTTTTATGTTATTCATAGTGATGTATGGGGACCATCGCGGGTCAGAAATGTAACTGGAGCAAGATGGTTTGTCACATTTATTGATGACCACACACGGATCACTTGGGTCTACCTTATGAAAGATAAATCGGAAGTTGGTAGGATATTTGAATGTTTCCATACCATGGTGCAAACACAATTTCAAAGCAAAATTAGAGTGCTTAGGAGTGATAATGGTCGTGAGTACTATAATTCTGCACTAAGCTCATACTTTACGCAACATGGAATAATACACCAAACCTCATGTGTGGATACACCTCAGCAGAACGGGGTTGCCGAGAGAAAGAATAGACACCTCCTAGAAGTAACCTGATCTCTCATGCTAGCTACAAATGTACCTAACCAGTTTTGGGGAGAAGCTGTCCTCTCTGCAACCTATCTAATAAACAGAATGTCTTCCCGAATCCTTAACTTTCATACGCCTTACTCCACTCTCCAAACCTTATACCCAACCAATCGTATTCTTACATCTATTCCTTTGAAAATATTTGGATGCACAACCTTTGTCCATAATCTTGATCTCCAACGCAGTAAACTTGACCCGAAATCAATTAAATGCATATTCCTCGGCTACTCTCCTCACTAAAAGGGATACAAATGTTATTCACCTCAAAACAAAAAATTCTACCACACCATGGATGTAACCTTTTTTGAGAATCAGCCATATTACTCCAAAGTTGGCATTCAGGGGGAGAACACATATCCAATTGAAGTGGTAGAATCCCAACTTTTGGAACTTGAGCTAACTGAACCCAAACTCACTGCAGAGGCATCAAAACCTACACCTGAACCAAATGAAAATGCAACAGAAACTGCAGAACTTACATGTGGACCAGAAGAAACTACGTTAGAAAATACAGAGGAAATTGCAGTAGAAACTGCAGCCCCTACAACAGAAACTGCACCAGGAAACAACATGAAAGTGTACTCCAGGAAGAACAAGAAGGGAATAGAGTCCTGCACAACTCCAAGGCAGAACCAAGAAACCTCCAAGACTCCAGAAAATGGCGTTCCCTCAGGTAATACTGCTCCTAACTCTGTGAATGTTGATATTGATATTCCTATTGCGTTGAGAAAAAATGTAAGATCCTGTACCAAACATCCCATTGAAAGATTTGTATCTTATGGAAAATTGTCCCAAAGTTACAAGACTTTTGTAACAGCTCTTGACAATACACATATTCCAAGCAACATCCATGAGGCACTCCAAAATTCTGAATGGGCAGCAGCTGTAACGGAAGAGGTTCAGGCCTTAATTAAGAATGGCACTTGGGAAATCACAAGCTTACCTGCAGGGAAGAAGCCGGTAGGATGCAAATGGATATTCTCCATGAAGTATAATGCAGATGGGAGTGTAAATCGGTACAAAGCTCGACTTGTAGCAAAGGGATTTACTCAATCATATGGAGTAGATTATGAAGAGACTTTTGCACCGGTGGCAAAACTAAACTCCGTTAGAGTTATTCTCTCTTTAGCTGCAAATTTAGATTGGCCACTCCATCAACTAGACATCAAGAATGCCTTCTTAAATGGTGACCTAGAAGAGGAAGTTTATATGCAGATTCCTCCTGGACTCGAATCATCCAGCACCGCAAATATGGTGTGCAGGCTCCGAAAATCCCTTTATGGCCTCAAGCAGTCCCCAAGGGCGTGGTTTGATAGATTGACTCGAGTTGTCAAGAAAGACGGGTTCAACCAATGCCAATCAGATCACACTATGTTTGTTAAACACTCCATGGAAGGAAAGGTAGCTTTGTTTATTGTTTATGTGGATGATATCGTTATTACAGGAAATGATTATGATCAAATTGATCATTTAAAGGGACTCTTGGCAAAGGAATTTGAAGTTAAGGACTTGGGACAACTTAAGTATTTTTTAGGGATGGAAGTTGCTCGAACAAAGGATGGTATCTATGTATCACAAAGGAAATACACCCTTGACTTACTTCAAGAAACTGGAATGCTTGGGTGCAAGGCAGCTAATACACCAATAGAACAAATAAAAGGAAGAGAAGATGAAAGTCCACCAGCCGACAAAGATAGATATCAAAGTCTAGTTGGGAAACTAATCTACCTATCTCACATTAGGCCTGACATTGAGTTCGCTGTAAGCTTGGCTAGTCGCTATATGTCAAATCCAACCGAGTCTAACATGAAAATGGCGAATAGAATCCTCCAATACCTCAAAGGCACACCAGGTCGAGGCCTCCACTTCAAGAGAAATTCAAACAGGGACGTTGAAGTTTATACAGATTCAGATTGGGCAGGATGCTCCACAGACAGAAAATCGACTACAGGTTATTGTTCATTTGTGTGGGGGAACCTAGTAACTTGGCGAAGCAAGAAACAAACTGTAGTGGCGAGGAGTAGTGCAGAAGCAGAATTTAGAGCTATGGCCCTAGGTATTTGTGAAGGAATGTGGCTTAAGAGCATGCTAGATGAAATCAAAATTCCAGTGAACCATACTGTGAGGTTACTATGTGATAACAACGCTGCTATAAGCATTGCAAAGAACCCAGTCCAACATGATAGAACAAAACATGTGGAAATTGACCGACACTTCATTAAAGAAAAAATTGATCATAAGATTATAAGTATTGATCATGTCCCATCATGCAAGCAAACTGCAGATATCTTAACCAAGGCTCTTCCAAGGAATACTTATGAAAATATCAAATCCAATCTGGGTATGATAGACATCTACCACCCAGATTGAGGGGGAGTGTTGAAGATTAGCACATATCAAATCATAATCATTTGATTCTGATTTGTCAAGCTGTTACAAAACAGTGGTGTAAATAGATTTATTATCTATTATTCTGATTTCCTTATTTAGGTAGCAGCAATTATAGGAAATTATTTCTCTGTTTATTAACAAATTAGTGTACTGTATTCTATATATACCTCACAATGTAACAGTTCCAATAAAAAAATGAAATATACAACGTATTTCTATAGAAAATAAAAATAGAAAGATCAGACAGGATATCTGCTAGCTTGAAAGATTGCTGAATGGCCTACAAAACGAAAGTGACATGGGGTACACAGATAAGGGCTCACGAAAGCACCCTTTGGGGCCGAGTCTCAGATGGATGACTGAGCAAGGGCTGAGTCTCAGATGGATGACTGAGCAAGGGATGGTGATTCTAGTGATGGAGCCACCTACCAGAAAGGTCACCAGAGATATGTATAGATTATAGAAAGGCCAGTACCTAAGAACAAGGTTGGCTGGGAAAAAACACTCAGGAGCACACCAGGTAGGCACAGTTTGGGTTGCCATTTAAAACTCTAGATACTATGCAACTAATAGAAAAGAAAAGCATAACCATAAAACCATTGACATGTGTTAATGTGCAATCAGAACAAAATATATGATTCTCAAAGAGAATACACAGGTTCTTGTTTCTCTAATCAACATGTCTAAAACTAACCTGGACTTAATTTGATGCTAGATTAAGCTAAATTAACTAACTATGGATTGGTATAACAATTTGTTACTCTTTGGAACCAATTGCCACTATTTGTTCTTTTATACTTGGATATAATAAACATGACCATGAAACACTGGATTAAGAATAGCAAGAGTGAAAAATACACAATCAAAAACTACAGAAGATTTACCTTCTTTCAAATGAGTCAACCATATATGGAAAGTTCGGCTGTATGCCTGTTGCTTTCCGCAACCACCTATTACCCAAGAGCACTTTGTCAACAGTATATTGGAACTGGAGTTCTGCAGCTTTAGAAATAACACTTAGTGGTATACTAGGATGGCCCATTTCATCAAGCACTTCTTGAACCTGTCAGTATAAATGAACAAGAAACTAAACAATTTTCCAAGAAAAAATAAATATGGATATTAATGATACGTATATCTCAAATTAATCTTTTTTTTTTAAATGCAACACAACTTGTTTCTCTTCAAGAACAAGTTATAGTAGGTATCCCAGTTCATACTTTATCAATTGTTATCAAGGTTGAGATCTAAAACATAGGATCACGTGATCTCACAATGCTGCCTCCTCTAATTGAGTCAATCACATGTGAAATAACTAGTGGGTAAGATTGAAGTGAGATCACGAGCAAGATCATTGCGACCCAAAATGAACATTTCTGAGTTGGGGATCCCATAATGCCACCCTTAAATTCCTGAAAACAACACCCATCTCCTTCGACTCGAGTCTCTTGACCCTCTCGACCCATCTCACCAGATCCACACATCTTACTCCATCTCTCTCAAGTTTTAATCCTCTCTGCTCATCTTATTTCTTCACATCTATCCTCCCCACTTTTCTGATTTGTCACAGCTTGGTCTGCATTCAAATTCATTGGAAATGACTTCTGTGCATGGTGATATTGTGGTTGGACAGCATAGGCTGGTGGTAGTGAGGCTGCAGGATGTTATGGTGATGGTTATTATTTTAGTTACATATGGTCTTTTGTATGTATCTGACTAATTATGACCTGTTCCAGATGTTATGGTTATGATACTTCACTTTTAAATAAGTGGAACAGGAACAGAACTTACTAAAATTGAAAATATCTATACCTATTTAATCCGTATAATATTTTTTTGAAAACAAAATATTATTAATAATAATAATAATAATAATAATAATAATAATAATAATAATAATAATAATAATATAAGTATTGTATTTGGCTGTGTGCATAAACAATGAAATAAAAACAGCTTTTTTAAGCGGACAAAAATAGATAAATAAACAACATATAAATTCTAAAAACAAGGATGAGCGTGAATAAAATCCTTAAAAACTAAAGTAATAAAAACAAAATCTTTTTTTCGGTGAAAAAATAATAAAAATGGAAAACATTAAAATCCAATAAAAGGAGGACATGGAAAGAGAAACTACCCAAAGGGTAAGAGTGTTAAATAAAACAGTGCAAGGCTATGGATTCTGCATAGATTCATTTACAACTCAAATTCACACTCAGTCCATAAACAAACGCAATTTTCATGTTTTTGTTTCTCACTCGAATTCCGTCAATAATGACACTGTTTTAACGTTGCTGCTGTGTCTCTGCGTTTTTCCCTTTGTTTTTTAATCTTGCAGTTCTTTAGGCCCTGGTCATTAAGGGTGAACAAAGGATGAGTAAAAAAACCTCGGAAGCTCCGAAAAATGTTCCTGCCGTCAAATTTCCATCTCTCAGTGATGGCTATTTTGAAGTCGCGGCAATTCATAATAAGAGGGTCCACAAGGTCAAATTTCTCCTTTTCTTCTTTTTTTCATTCGTGAGGTTCTCTTTTTTTTCTGTTATCTTAAGTATGATGATCATTTTTTGTCCAATTTCTTCTTTTGCCTGACTGGGTTTTTTTTGTTGGTGGCAATTTTCAGGGTAAGGTGGAGTATTTGGTCAGCTGGTGAGTGCCTCTTTTGTTTTTGTTCTTGCTGTTTAGCTAGATTGTGATAAAGCTGAAGGGTGAGGGGCGAAATAAGATATTTTTAATAATATTTTATTTATCACTCAAGGTCCGGATGGGATGAGACAGCAAACACTTGGGAGCCTGGAGAAAGTTTAGTTTGTGTTGCCAACGTTGAAGCTTTTGAGAAAAGGTAATCCCTTATTCCTCAGTACAATGTTTACGTTTTTCTTTAGATTATGTAATTATGAGTGAGGATGAATAGCATATTTCAATTTATGTTTTAGTATTTGTGCTTTGTTTGCTATGAATATGAATGTGTTGTGATAAGCATAGGTTGACGACTGTGGTTGTCAGAAACTGGATGGACTTAATGACCAGACTTCATAACTTGTTTTCTTACAAATATTTGTTTCTTCATTGTTTTGAAGCTTGAGATCAACAAAGCATCGGAAGCGCATATGCATGCATGGTGATGGCAGCAGTCTTGGAAAAGGCAAACATGCTAATAATGATAGGTCTGTAAATGTTTCAGAAGACGGCAGGTCTGCAAATGTTTTAAAGGTGAAATCTGAAGAGGAGAGTGATGAAGAGAGGTCTGTGAATGTTTCAGAAGAGGATAAAATGTAAGGTGATGGGAGGGCTGGAGGTGGGGTAGGGGCGGGTAGCAGTGAGCCTGCTGAATGTTGTGGTTACTTTAGTTAGATTTGGGTCTTATGTGACTAATTATGACTTGTCTAGGATGTCATGCTTCTGAAACTTCATATTTATCTACTTTAATAATGTTAATATTTATTAGTTATTTTTATGGGGGCATATCTAGTCAGAAGCCATTGTCAACCAATAAATGGCTGAGATCAGGGTACCAAAATCAAAATATCACATGCCTTTTCCTCTATGATGTTCATCTCCAAAATTTCTCAAACCTGAATGTGACTTATTCTGCTGCCGTCGCTGTGGAAGTCTTTCACACTGTTCCATTACTTCCTACGTGCAATAACGAGACCAGAGTTCCCTTTCTTTGGATTTATGCACTACTAAAAATTCTGTATAGATCTTATGAAATAGATTCTGATTTGTGTAATACTAATTCATTATTAATTTATGCAATATTGGTTTTGTTGATTCTGATTTTTTAAGTCTTTTCCTGGTTGTTGTTGGTTTTGATTCACCTCCAACGAAATTCATTTTAATCCAGTGACCTTCGTGTTTAATATGGATTTTGAATAAGTTTTATAGCTATCATCTACCCATTGTTACTGGTTTAATACAGCGGGGTTTATTTTTATCCAGCAATGTCAATGGTGGCAACAGCAAGTCGACCCATCTATGGTGGTGGATGGGACTGTGCTTGTTACCATTGAAAAAGTGATCTGAAAACTTTCAGTAGGAATAGATTGGAGGAGTAGAGTGGTGAGACTGTTTAACTGAAGCATTCAGTTTCAGCTGTGGGTTTCAAGGCCAGGAACAAGAAGAGTTCCTCCCACTCTGACATAAGGATAACTTTTCATTTTGGTAGGATCTTATGATCCTTGTTACATTCTTGTGTGTTAAGTTCTTGCAACCCCCACCCTAGGTACGATCTTAGTCTTGACAACATTGTTTTCAATAACATAATCATCACTTACTTTTTAACTTCAAACAAATACTAAATTAATAAATCAGTATGGAAGGTTCAGAATGAAAACCATTCCATATCAGATTCTTCTTCACTATAATGAAAATTTTCTTCCTCATTCTTGTACTTCAATAAACAATAAAATGTTCACAAAACTAGTCATACCTCTGGAGGCTCCCCTAAACTATCTCCAATTTCCTCAATCACTTCTGCTGCCAAGTTGTCATCAACCACATCTCGCCGCCGCTGAATGTGCCGAGTTTGGATTAATGTATGGAAATGTTGATCAACAGCTTCTTCAAGAATGTTATCAAGCATGTTTTTATCAAAGAAGTAGGGAGTGTACCTATTCAAACAACGCAATAAGGTTGGCATAAATATTATGTTGCTTTGTTAGAAAATAATTCATTTACTCATTTGCTCTAAGGACCCGATGAAATGTGTTGCAAATACATAAATAACACTGTTTTCTTATTACTACATATCACCATGGTCCATGATAGCCAGTAACTACTGGGACAAGATTTTATTTCTATTTTTCATTATCAATTATTAAGACTAGTCTATGCATAATAGTATTTGAAATAATAAGAGTCAATCACCATTTTGCTCCACGAAATTGTAGGGTCCAGCAATTTGATTGTTCAAATTTAGGAAAAGGGTAATCAGTCCCTCAAATTGAAGCGCCTCAAACAAATTTATTCCTTTGTAATCTAAAAGGGTCAGAAATGCTGAATTAAGACATCATTTAGGGTGTGTTCAAATGGAGCATATTTTCACAAATTGGTTTAAAGCTTCAACTGATCTCTCTATTTTGTGGTCCAGATTCATCAAAATTGATGGAATTGATTGACAAAATGACGAATTTGATTGATGATCTTCAATTCCGTGGACTACTTTGCTATTTCAAAATTTTGAGAAAACAAATTGTCCGACCTCGAAATAATAATATTCAGTTTTTCTCTTTCAAGTTTCAAGTATACATAATATAATCAAAATAAGTCTAATTCCTGAGAGAAAAATAGCATATCACAAATCAATATTTGTACCAACACTTTCAAGAAAGCTAAGAAAACCAAAGAAGAAACAACGGCAAAAAAAGAGACTAGGCTAAGGCAATTTATGTTTATACATGTGTAAGAAACATGAGAAGGGATACCCCGGTTGAGTTACTGATAAAAGAGATTTCAAAATGCACAATAACCATTATACTGATTAAATTTCAAATAAACAACATATAAGCAAGTTCTATGACAATAACACCTATTTACATAAAACAAGGAAGATGAGCAATATATACCATTTAATTCCATCAGTAGTTGCTATTGCAATATCCAAATTCTGAGCACTAAACACGGGCACCCCATCGACCTTTGTCCCAGCAATATTGTGTGGGATGGTCTTCAGAAGTTTATTAGCTGCCTTGACCTGAAGGGAAAATATTATTAATATTTAAAGATTATAGTCAAATAAATTTGAAATATGTGCAACAATGAAAGACAAAATAATACCTGCTTCTCATTTGGAACAAATTGGAATAAGTGAGGCTTTTCCTGCATGGTACATAGCAAGCAACATATCAAACAAAAAACATAGAAGTAAAAAAGAATACCAACATTAATTTCATTTTTTGGAACAACCATCTGCATGCAATTTGCATCACTGTGTCTTTCTAAACAACCAAACCAGTAGTGGATCATATATAACCGTAAATGCACTAACTCAAACTAGTAAAACTATATCTCAAATGAGAATTGAAAAAGTCAACGGTACCTTGAAATGCTCATATGCCAAATCAAGACGGCAGGCACCCACCACGCCACTTGGAATATTGAGTTTTTTGACATATGAAACTAGAGCGATTAAAATTTAAAAAGGTCAGTATTTGGTGTTAATTGCTAATCGGAGATCAACATTAATCAAAATATGTGATGATAAGAAAATAATTCAAGGAAAAAAGGAATGTAAACATATAGAGATAAAAGTACAGAATATTATGGGTGCAAAAAGTATCTGGTTCCAAGTGCAAACCACAAATATATCCATAAGCGGTTTTTCAATAACCAGATATTTACAACGATCCATTTAACCAGATATTTACAAACCGTTGTGGTTACTGTTTTTTTATCTGGTTTTGTGAAATGGATAACCGTAAACCCCTTGGTGAAACAATTATTTTCTCTGCTCAAACTTTCAAACTCAGTGATTAATTGATTAAGGAATGTTTTGCGACTTTTCTCCACTCTAGGATGGTTTTAGATTTATGAGTTTTGTTAACAGATTTCATATTTTCTCGATTACATCTTAGTCCCTTTCTATTCTTAGATCTCAATTCTCAAGCCATTGCACACTGTTCGCCGCCTGAAGAGCCGCTATCGCCGACAGCAGATGTAGCTAGTGACTGTGTGTTCTCGGTCACCATGACGCGGTGTTTTTGTATTCTGCAATTTTATGTTCCCTGTTTCTGTGTCTTCGGTTTGATAAAAGCAACGGTGTTAGCATTCTGCATTCTCACTTCTCAGATCATGTGTTCTGCATTCTGCGTCGCCGCTCCCGCACTGCATGCTCATCCGCCTCTTTTGCTGTTGTTCTGTTGCCGCCGTACGTGCTGCATTTTGAACTCCACCGCTTCTTTTGCTTCTTCCATCAACGGTGGAAATGGAGGTGCTGGAGCAGGTGATGGCAATCTTCCGTCAGCGGTTGAAATGGAGGTGCAGGAGCAGTGATAGGGATTCTGGCTGATATTCTGGAGATGCCAATCTCAAATTGGTTGTTGCTTATTCATAATTGGTTTTCTTAAGAATCTGGTTATACTTTTTTTTATTTACTGAATCTTGTTTGATTTTTATTAACTGAATATTGTTGTACACTATTTTTTAACCAAGTTCATAACAAATTTGGATATAACCAATTTTAACCGGTAACAAAAAAGGGGTTGGATTTGTTTTAAAATCCAATTGAAACAAGTGGTTTTGACATGGATGTGGTTTGGTTTTATCAATAACCTATCCATGAGCAACCCTACAAAATAACACCGTGTTCAAGGGAATATTTTAGCATGCAACATGTGCAATGCAAGGATCAGGTTCGGTCACAGTAGGTCAGAAATATGTAATTCAAGGGTGAGGTTTGGTCGCAGTAGGCCACAAATTTGCACTCTACATCTACTTGAGCTTGGAAAAACCCCTTAGGGTTTAGGTTTTATCTCTTCACTCTGGAACATCGGTGTATCGTAAAAGTTTGGAAAAGGTAATCAAGTAAAATTTTAAGCTGTATGCATCATATGTCACACATTAATGCACTTGGTTGGAGCCAGATGCACAAAACTTTAGGGGCACCTCTCTGCCACTTATCTTATGGGATAGGGTTTTGTTTTAGGATCACAATTGATGTTCTGTACATGGCTGCTTTAATGGGGTTGCCATTTCAGATATACAGAGATTGGGAAGTCCTGTTACACTCTTGATTCGTTTACCTAGTTTTTTAGGTCGTGGAAGACCCTTAGCTTGATCTCCTCAGTTCACTCTAATGAACTTTTTTATTTTTTTTAAATATTAAAGTCAATCCCCTTTCATTCCCCAGAGAAACATATAAGAGAGATTAACAACTAACCATCAGCTTGTATTTCATGTTCTATTTCACAAAATAAAACTGAATAAAGTACTTTTATTAGCATCAAAGAAGCAAATTAGCATTCAAAAGGTGTTTGGCTAGCAGCTGAATATACTGGAATTAAGCATCTCTACAAACAGAAACTTAGTAAGGCCAAAAGTAAATACATAGAGAGTGAGCTATAGAAAACAGGAAATCAGCTAGTCTAGGTCGCAGTTAAAGGACGCCAATGATAATTAGATAACATTGTCACAACCCTAGATTATTCAAGTTATAAAGAAAAACTTTGAAGAATATGACAACAACAATAGATTCATCAAGTTATGAAGAAAAACTTTGAAGAATAGGAGTAGACATAAATGGATTGGAAATGTTACAAGCAAACTAAAGGAGCGTATAAAAGGGGGACTGTCGATGAACTAACCTGCATCTCCTAGATCAATAAAAAAGCGAAATACAGGGCCATTCCTCTCACTCTTGGTGATTGCTGCAAACATTTTTTTCAGCCACTCTGGGGTTCTGCAGAAAATAGATAACAGACGGAAATAGTATGCTTTTAGAAAAATAATGGATGGTAACAGCTTAATCGATATTTCAGTTCAATGAGGTACTAAACAAACACAAGACACAGATCTACAATTTTGTTCCACAACTACCAAGCATCTCGGAATTCCTAAGCAAGACTCCTCGTGTTCGTTACATCAGTATTTGAAATGACATTAGCCTTACTCTTAACATCTCTATTGGATGTCTAGATTGCTAAAAGAAACCAAACACTAGCTCGTATTTGCTTACAAATGCAAGGTGATTCAATTGTCCTCATAAACAGACACGGGAATTTGAACCCTAAAAGCCCGGGCATCACACCTAAATAATAAACACCTACTATATTCTGTCCTTTAGAAAACCGGAAAAAAGTTATTTTCAGTACCGGCTTGGATAAACTTCATAAGAAACAGTTATAGTAAAAAATATTAAAAGAATCTTGCAATAAGAGTCAGTTTTTAAACAACAGTTTGTCATATTAGTTGAAATCATCTTCTACCTCTCTTTTCTTCAAACTCGCTTAGTAAATATACATATAATAAGAACTATTCTGTTATGAATCAGTAATCACAGGAAAAAGCAGTTTGTTCAATTTCTACTAGCTAAAAAGCAGTTTGTATATATACAAAAGTGGATTCCACAAACTATCATTTATATAACTATGCAGTAAACTAACCAAGCTAAAAGATACAAAATTACAACAACAAAAAGGTTACAAGTTCAATCTTAATTCAATTTCACAAACATAACAACAGCAATAGAAAATTCAAAACACCTTTTAGTGATGAAAGGAATATCAAAGTGAGTAGAAACAGCCATAAGACCAGTTCCAGAGAGGTCACACATGCTGAAAACCTGACCAACAAAAGCGGGTCCGCCACCACCTTTGACATTGGAATTGAGCCTCGAGACTCTAACCGATTTTGCGGAAGGGCGAGTTGACTCGGCGGTGGATTCGAACGTCACGGCGGAGAGCGGTGGCGCGAAAAAGAGAGGGAGGGAGAGTGCGGAGGGTAGTTGAGGTAGCGGTGGAGGGTTGGGTTGGTTGAAGAGAGAGAGGAAATTTGAAGCGGTGGATTGAAAGAAGGAGGAGATGTGGTTGTGGTTGTAGTTGCCGTGACGGCGGCGATGAGGTTCGGACGGTGGAGCCATGCAGTTCGCATGGACGGACGGAGAGGATTTGAATTCGGGTAAGGGATTTGTTGAGAGTCTTGGTTACTGTGTTGTTTTAACTTTCTCAAAAATTAAAAAATTTGTGTGATTATTATTGTTCAATTTATTTTATAAATAAGTAAAAGAACTCGCACGCTGCACAACATTATTATGAATAAATAAATAATTATATATCATTATAAATAAATATAATGTATTAATGGTAAAGAAAGATATATAAATTAAAAAGAAAAAATATTTTAATTTATAATTATCACAAAAATATTAATTTAAAAATTAGTGATATTTTGGTAGGATGTACAATGAAATTATATTAAATGAATTAAATATTATTTTTAAAAATAGAGATATTCAAAGAAAAATATGTTATATAGATATATAATAAATATATAATATAAATGATTTATTTTATTTTATTTGAAAATATATTTTGTTTAAATCTTTTTCATTATCATCTGATCTTATCTGATCAGACTTGGACCGTCACGACTGGCTCCGAGCGGAAGTTGAGTGATATGGGGGGTACCTGCAAGGCACTCCGATGCTAAAGTGAGTGATGGTACGAGCAGGCAAAAAAGTGTATGTATGGGTAAGAGAATGAATACCTGACCCTCTAGGAACAGAGGATATTTATAATCCCTAGCGTGGGGCCAAGGTCCCTTCATTGGGCTGACCAGAACTGCCCCAATGAAGGAACTGCCAGGTTCTGCGTGTGTAGTGGGGACCCGCACGTGGTCTCCTTCCTGGTGATGCTCTGCGAGAAATGAGGAGGGACGAAGACGCGGTCTTTCCGGAGTTTAGGTGATTTGGTAACGGTCAGAGTCTGCCCTACGAGGAGGGTGCTCGAGTTGGGCTCGAGCTGGAATTCCCGTGGTCGAGGGCACCATGTTCGCGGGCGACGGCGGGCACGGTTGCAGTTTCTGGTCGGGCACGCTGGCGGGAATCCTTGGGCGCGCGCTCCTCAAAGAGTGGCTTGGATTGGGCCTTTGTTCTTGCTTTTGGGCCAGGGCGGGCCCAGTCCAGAACAGGAGTCCCCCAAGTCGTGGCTCCTGGAGCAGGAGTTATGACTTGACCTCAACTCGCCTTTGCCACGGGGTCTGATGCCCGACCCAAAATATTTGCCTCCCTGTGACTGCTCAAGAAGTTTCTCGTGAGTTGCGTACGTGGCGTAATCCTTGTCGATGCGTGCTCGAGGGATTTCTTGCGGACTCTGTTCGTTGGGTACACGAGGCAACCCTTGGGAACCGTGACGCCACCCTAGCGAGAGTAGGGCCATCATTGCCTAGGGGAGTAGACGTCGAGGAGGGGAAGTTTGTGGTTCCCCCGGGGTGACATTTCGTATTCCACGTCACCCCTATAAATAGGACCCTTGGGTCCCATAATTTGTTTTTCCTCTTCGCGCTTCTCCTTCTTCCTCTGCCTTTGCCGCCACTGTTTCTCTACAACTTCGCAAGATTACCGTACCTTCCCCCGTTGATTTTCTCCACCGTTACCGTACCTTCTTCTTAACTTCCAAGTAAGCGTTTATCCCTCATATTTTTCTTTGTTGTAGGTAATTTTTCCGTTATTTGGATGTTAGAAACCCACATCTAGGATTAGCGCCCGGTACATTCATGCTTGTGCCCGACACATTCATGTTTGTGCCCGATATATTCATGTTTGTGCCCGGTAAACTCATAGCTTTAGGTATGTGACTCGCGATGCTGCCCGGGACCTTCATGGTTTTGGGCGCATAATTCTATGATACTGCCCGGTAAACCCGTAGTTCTAGGTTTAGGATTCATGATATTGCTCGTCACATTCGTAGTTTAGGCCGGCGTACTCATGACTGGCCGGGGTGTTGGCCCATTTAGGAAGTATGTAGGACAACTCGTCGTGGCACCTTAGCGTCGAGGAGGCGAAACCAGGATCTTATTCGAGTCCTCAATGTTTTAACGCGCACGGACTGTGTCTTGGCTTGTCGTGCCCTTCTTCCCGTCAGTTATGGCGAGCATATGGATTTGCTCTCGAATTTCACCGGTTTCCTGTGCTTTGCAGGTAAATGGCTGACGAACCGGAGTCCTCGGGGCGTAATGAGGTCGAGGACCAGAGTGCCGAGGAGAATGTAACCTTAGTTGACATCGTTGATGATCCTTTGTTGGATTGGGTGGACGCCGAGCCCCGAGGGATTGTCTCGGCATATAGTCGGCGTAGTCGGAGCGCCTACACTATCGTCGAACACGGCGGTAGTCAACCGGGCTTCCAGAAGAACTTTGTTGTCACAAGTCCATCTCTTGACGCGCGGATCTGTTCGGAGTTCTCTGAGTATGGTTTTCCCATGTATGAAATCGCGTTCAAGGACCTCGGCCTTAAGCTCCCCTTCAGTGATTTCCAGGTCGGGGTATTCTGCCATCTGGACTTGGCCCCCTCGTAGCTTCACCCCAATTTGATCGCCTTTCTTCGGGCGTTCGAGCTGACATGTCGCTTCTTAAGGATCGGGGAGACCATTCCTCTCTTCTTTAGAGTTTTTCACTTACAATGCCAGTCTCGAGGAGGCAGGCATAGTTGGGTTTCCTTGAAACAGTTGAAGAGGCTGTTCAGGATGTACATGGATTCGGTCCGGGGTTTCAAGGACAAATGGTATGTCGTGCGGCCGGTCACCCAGACTGCTTTGGATTCTATATACGAAGAGGAGACCGCAGTGGCCGACGAGAACGGGGAGCCTCTTATGGACGACGAGGGTCGCCCGATGTTGGGGCGTGTATCCAAGTTCCCGTTGCATTGGTGCTCGCGCCATTACGAGCATGGTACCGGGCACTACCATACGCCCGCGGGAGGGATGAGTGTCGAGGATGAGGAAGCCTGCGGTACCCTTTGCAAGTATGTCGACAGCTTCTTCCCTTCCCGGTGGGTCACGAGGGAGGGGAAGGACATTCTTGACGAGGAAGGTTACCCGACCTTCGAGGCCCGTCCTATAGATACCAAGGCACTTGTCGAGTGCCAGTCCTACGGGCAGGTCGTGGACCTACTAGGTTGCCTTCTGTCTTATAGTTTTGTTCTAGTTTCTTTGTTTGTTACTTGCTCGTAACTAACTCGGGTTTTCTTCTTTGCAGGCAATATGTCCGGACGAAGGGAGAGGCTCTTAAAGCTGACTCAGGATAAGAAAGTCAATAGAAGGTTGGTGCGAGCTCCTCAGGCGACGAGGATGGGCCCGCCGACCAGTTCAGGTGATACTTCTGGCGGGTCCCCGGACTCCCCTGACGTCGAACAACCCACTGAGCTGATAACGAGGAAGAGAAACCAGGTAGAGAGTCAGTCGGAAGTCGGTGATGAGTCTGTCGCGGTGAGGGCCTTTGGCTTGCCCCCCTGCTTTAAAGAGGAAGGCTTCTTCGAGGGGTTTCCCTTGACAGTAAGTGTCGAGGAGGCTGAGACCATTAGGCGGCTAAACAAAGAAAGTCGGAGACAACATCTGGCCGCCAGTATGGTCGGGATGGTTAAGATGGCCGAGATGGCTGTTGTCCTTGCTGAGGAGGGGTCGTACTCCTCTGACCGCGTCAGGGAACTGGAGCTGGAGAAAGCTGCCCTCGCTGCCGGCTCTCGTAAGTTGAAGGCTGCTCTGGAGCAATCTGAGGAGATGTTCCGCGAGCAAGCCGAGCTGCTGGCCGCGGAGAAGGAAAACTAGGGGAAGGTTGTCGTGGAGAGGGACTGTTTTCGACTGGACCGGGAACGCTTGGAGGCCGATAACGAGCGTCTGGCTAAAGAAGTCGAGGATTTGAAGGCCTCTATGCTTCCCGCTGAAGATGAGTCGAAGGAGACAACCCCCTTGCGGAGTCGCTCGGATCTGGTCGCGCGCATCCATCTCCTCGAAACAGACTGTGTTGGCGCCTTGGCAGATGGTTTTGAGACCGCGGTTACCCAGCTCACTTTATTGAATCCGGGCCTGAATACCGAGGGGGTGGGTTTCATGTCCCAGATCATCGACGGCCAGGTCGTGCCTCCTCCTGAGTCTCCTGTCGTGGATGCTGGTAGCCCCTGAGAAGTCTAGCCGTGGAATTCTGGTCGGGCCTGCGCGCCTGTTTACTGGTAGTTATTTTTGGGGCATGCGTGCTTATGTCTGTAATTTCTGAACATCATCGGCCTTCTTGGTCGGTTTATTTTTATTTGTTTTTGCTTACGAGCCTTTGAATGGATGTTTATTTTCGACCTTTGATTATTGTTCGTGTCTAAGTTTTTATATTTGTGATGAAATTTGCATGTTATGTCCCCGAGTCCCGCCTGTGCTCGGCTGTTACTTTGTGGCTAAATTTGCCTAAGTTATATCCTCGGGGCATGCTTGTGCTCGGTTGTTACTTTGTGGCGAAATTTGCCTAAGTTACGTCCTCGAGTGGAGATTCTTTCGACCCATTTGGTGGTCCGACGTACTTCGAAATGCGTCGGTTGTGCAGAGTAAAGCCGCTTGCTCGGGCGTATGACCCAGATCAGGGTCGCTTGCCCGTGGCGTGAACTGCCCATCGCGAGCTGGGTGTTCTTCCATGTGGGTGCTTCGACAGTGGAGCTCGATTAAGGTGTCCATGTTGGGCACTGTTGTTCGTGCTTGTTTGGCTGAATGACGTTATGTCGTTTGGGCGTAGATTGGGCCCGTGATAACACGAAATCGTATCGTTTATTTTCTATGAAATTCACCCGTTCTGTATTATTTTGACCCGATTAATTCCCGAATATTTCGAGTTTGTCATTACTTTTTGCAGGTATTCATAACTCAGCTCAAAACAGAAGAAAACATGAAACAATGCAAGAAAGCATCAAAAGAACAGAAGAAAAAGATAAATCTGTCAAAGAACTGCACTTTTGTAGCTGTGACGGTCGTAATGTAGCTGCCACGACCGTAAGTCATCTTGAAGAGTGTTACGACCGTAACACAGTGGCCACGACCGTAACACGGGAAAGACCAAAGCTGCTCGTAACGCTCATGTAACGAATGTAATGCGTATATCAGTTTA